TTATTACACTCATCCTTATCTGACAAAATACATAACATGTGAACAATTAATATTGGCCATTATCAGTACCAGAGCAATGATGGCCAGATTTCAAATATCCAGTGTTGCAAGAGCATTCATAGCTGCCAATTGTGTTCTTACAATTGTGTTCACAACCTCCATTGTTATCGTCACATTCATTGATATCTAAATCATAAATTCGTTAATCATAAAGTATTTATTTTTAATGTTTACCAGTACAACTCCTTTCATCGCTATCCAGTGTGTATCCATCATTGCAATCACAGTCATATGAACCATCAGTGTCATGGCAAACTTGAGTACAACCACTTGATCCATTGAGACACTCATTGATATCTATATCATTTACTGAATTAACATACAATAGAATGAAAGAGCTTACTATCACAATCATATCCATTTGAATTTAGTGTGAAACCAGTATTGCATTGACATGTTCGACTGCCTTGTGTATTAATGCAATTTTGACGACAACCTCCATTGTGTTGTTCAATGCACTCATTAATTTCTTTGGATTGAAAATATTAAGGCAGCAATATTGAAGGATATTGCAAACCTCGGCATGTTATTCCATTGAGTAGAAGCTCATAGCCAGTCCTACAACTACAATTATAAGTACCCTTTTCATTATGACAGTAATGAGAATCGGGACAGCTATCAGTACCAGCAGTGCATTCATTAATATCTAGAAAAACACCATTGATGTTAGCACTACAAAAATGGCCATAATTAACATGATTCATGAAATCATGAATTAAAAGTATGTAATGGCATGAATTTCATGATATGAATTTCTTTAAATAATGTAACAACAAAGTCATAAATCCAATTTGAGCCTTTCACATAAATTTCATGCACCACAAATTTCATTTAGCTTATACAAATCAATAAGTATTAAGGCAATCACTATTAGCTTTTGAAATCTTGGAGTAATAAATCAATCCACTTTACCTATGCATGAACGGCCATCACTGGCAAGACTATACCCTGAATCACAACTACAGGAATAGGTTCCAGCAGTGTTGTGACAATGCTGATCACAGCCACCATTATTATTTGCACATTCATTGATATCTAAAATTTACATCAAGATACACCAAAATTTCTACTATAATATACCTTCACATCCAGTTGAATCATACAAAATAAAGCCATCAGGACAGGAACAGTAATAGCTTCCATTTGTATTGGTACACTGATATTCGCACCCTCCATTATAACTTAGGCACTCATTGATATCTAAACATTAATATTTAATTTAAAAACACTGCAAATTAACCTAATATACTTAATTTACACTTAAAATACCCCAAAAAGTTAACTGATATTAATTTATAAAATGCAAAAAGCATGCATAAAGGTGGGTTATGCATGCTTTCTGCTAGAATAGAACTAGATTCTATTCCAGCATCAACGTCACGTCAGGACTAATGTAATATTGTAAACCAGCCTTAAGACTATATTTGTGTACTTCATGGCATTTACCTGTACAGCAAGTCGTAGTATTATACCAACCAGGATTACAGGAACTGCAATTGTTTGGTGAAGCACACACAGCACAGTTGTTTCCACAGACATCAGGTCCAGAACAAGTTGCTATGAAAAATTGAACACACAATTTAAATGGAATTGTCTTACGTGTGCAATTTGGATATGTTCCTACGTAGCCTGAACAACAAACATTGACAAAGTATATCTGGGGCACTAATGTTGTATTATATATTGTTATGGTCCTGCATAAATATAGTTAGCATTAGAGGGATCTATTATTAGTTTTTACTGATCACATTTTATACAAACTAAACTAATACAACCGACATGAAGTGTATGCTTGTTCTTACACTACTCTACTTCTTGTTCTACAATTCCAGCCCCACCATCCGCATGTTCTGTATTCTTGTAATACTTCTTGCTGAAAAGCAAATGGAGTAGGAGCCAATTGATACCGTGTCTCATTGCATGATGGGCTAAAATGTAAGAATAATCTGATGATGTCTATTTTTATTTACACAGCATTGTCTTACGTTGAATTGGATCCTAGTACATCACTTATTGAAGTGACACACAAGATAAAGACTATTAACAGAGAGACTTGTAAGTGACCCATGACTGTTGCAAATAGGGCGTGGTCATCTATCTATGCATGCATCGCATATCGCATGCATATGCACACATGCATGAATAATGTTTATGAACATGCACAATAGACTACAAAAAACTGCATGGCAGCATTAGCTTCTTTCTAGATGCAAATTCAGGTATTTAATTTTAATGCATTGTTAGCTTTGAAATTGTTAATTTTCAATATTTTTGATCTGAAAGAAACATGAACCAACTATCTAAAAAAGTTCAGAATACAGCCCCAGACACTCTAATTTAGAAGTCAATGCAATTTTATTAAAGATAAGTTTCATACTTTTTCATATAATAGTAAAGTCCCCCTTTTGGAATACCACCCTCTATTTTCTGGAAATGGTGGTAATTGAACTTTGGGCCTAGATTTAAAAGGAATCATGCCTTACTAAACAGAAGGTGGTCCCTCAAAAGGATGACTACTGCACTAACTTAAGTTTCAACTTAAGGTCTTCAATTCTTTAAAGTATAAATTATTGTGAATTTTAGTAGACCGGTCCTAGCCATAGATAGTGTTGGGACTAAAAAATAATGATATCATTCAACAAAATCACCTTACTTCATTTGTTTCAAGTTTTCTTTTTGCCTCTACAAATTGTACAGGTAGCTCTAGATTATTATAATGATAGCTAAATGTGGGGAGTTTTTCTTTTTTCTAGAACAATGTGATAGATTTATGGGCTTATCTCTGGTATTACATATATAATGCACAAAATATCAAGGGTACAACAAATGAAGAAATACATCCTATGAGGCACCAAAGAGCTTTACTGGAATATGAATTAATATTGTTCAAGTACTACCATTACCAGTCTTCTCCTAGGCAATGATGTACACACAGCTAATTGAACCATTCCAAAATGTCATAAATCACACCTTAAAATGAATTAATTTTTTTACATTTTTTCAGAATGTTGTAATTGTAACTTAAGAAATTATCATGAACAAAAACTAAATAAGAACTAAAACTGACAAAAATCAAAGTGCAAACACTTTAAGCAGTGTGGTGTTACAAAAATTACATAACTAGACTATATATAGAGACTAATTATAATCAAACAACACAAGTAAAAAACCTAACAATAGACTAAATAGTTTAATTACCACACACACAGAAATGAAAGGTCAAAATTATTAGAAGTAAAAAATCAAGTTATACAGCAGTGTTTTCAATCATCTCTGCACTTTTATCAGATTTTGGTGATACATCATCCGGAACACTTTCAGAGGAAGTTATGAAAGAACTTTTTTCACGATACAAGAAACTTGAATACTTCTTTGTCAATTTTTTTGCTTTAATTCCAGCGTTTTTAACTGACCTCCACTTAAGTATAAAATTCAAAATGCTCAAAGGTATCAAACTCATTAGTATGTATGTAATAGCACTTGTGTAAGGGCTATAGATCTTATCAAATGTTCCTCTATCACATTTTCCAGGGACATAACCAAATGCCTCACATTCAAAGTATTCTCTTAAAGCTGCTTGAAACTGGCCAGATTTTGCTGTTGTGTCACTTACATGCCCTAAAATAAAAACACCAAAAATAATAAAAGATGTGAAAACCAAGAGGATTTTTTTCTCTGCAGTGCTGAGCTGGGTACGACTTTTCTTTTTCAGGAAATTGGTTTTCTATCAAAAATCAGAGCAATTATATAAAATCAATATTGTAGTACACATACTTTCCTAATAGTCCAAAGAACTATAATCA